AATGTTTTTTTCTTCAGCGTTTACTTCTCGGTTTGCTTAGGGAATAAAGAATAAACATTTTTTTCACATATTCACTTTCAGGGAAGGAAGGTCATTGAAAGTTTGCAGAAATAAAAGTCATTCTAATTAGGTCAAATCCGGTTCTTTCTCGCTTGCTCAAACATGCTTCAGCAGAAAGCATGCTGTCAGTCTGTCTTTAATACTCAGCCTTTTTTTCTCACCTGCTTTTAACCCTGTTCCACTGTAGGATGCTCCCAAAGGTGCCAAGAGAAAATTAGCATTTGAGTCCAAAACATTTAAAAGATTCAAAAAGCTAAAACCACACATTTAGTTTAATCATTACTGTTCTTTATGCAAAAAAAAACGAAATAAAACAAATAAAAATGGTTTAACGATGTCACTTAAAAAGCCACGAGGGTTGAGGTTGGTTTCCTTTAAGAGTACGAGCAGACGCACCTGTCACTCCTGCCCTGTCTGTGAACTCAGATGTTCAATATTGATGAGATTTTCATGGCCGCACTTCTCCCTGTATCCTGGGTGTAAAAACAGCATGGCGTACTTTGAGAAGACTCCAAACCTCCATCGGTGTTTTTGCACAGCGCCCTGTCCTTGTAGCCCAAGTTGCTTTAAAAATTCATACAGCGCTGACTCCAGCTCCCAGTGTGTGTTTGTGTGTTATCGATTTCCACCCCAACCAGGCAATTTCCACAGCACTTGGCCTAAATATCAGCTCCGATCACATCGAGTGGCGGGGATTGATTGACTTTAAGCTCTGGTTTAAGCTGCGCGTTGGGATGCACCGTCCACCGTGACCACATTAAAATACAACAAGCATGGTTCCTAAATTCAATAGGATTTGGGTCTGGGTAATGTCCTGGTGATCGTTCCAAAGCAGAACCTCTAAAAGAGTCACCTGAACATCCTCAAAATAAATGTAGCAAAGAAAAAAAATGCTGACTGTGTGACACTGAAGGTGGCTTTGGCTAAAGTAATCATTTGCTGTTGTTTAGAGGATTTAGCGTCGTGGAGAGAAAGCAATTTTAAAACGGATGAGGGCGTAATCCCTGACAATACAGGGATTATCTCTTTAAATGACCTTTATCTTGCTATGAGGCATTGAGTGCTTTTTAACTCCTTTATCCAAAGTCTGGGTTGATTACAACAAGAACATTTATTTAGAATCACCAAGCTAAGGACAGATTATGCAGTTGCATGGGATCTTTAATCCAAAACAAACCCTTTAAGAGGGTGAAAGGTTGTTTTTTTAAGGAAGATGTTCATTGAATACAAGTTGGGTAATGTTTGCTATCATGACGATGCTGAAGCTGTAGCTATAAATACTTTGCATTTGATGTGTTTATTATATGCTTATATCATGTTCTGGTTTATTTGTAGAATCCATAGAAAATAAATTCTGTAAAAAATGTTTAATGTTTTTTATGTTCATCGCGGAGGTATGACTTCTGTGGTTTTTTTTAGAAAACGTTTACAACTGGGCAAGTCATTACTTCTATTCTGAATAAAAGCCTGGTGTGTGTAAACACTCGTCATGATAAAATAAATTAATTTTATGTCCATATAAATGATACATTTGGAGTGTTTAATCTAAATACATTTTAGTCTGATCAAAGAATATTGCACATGTAAACATAGCTATTGTCTTACCCTATGTTATGGATTTATTGGCTCTGAAGCTGCAGGAAAACCCAGAAGTAAATATTGTGCTCATCAGACTCACAGTTTAAAGATTGTGTTTTGAGTTTGGTGCCAGTTCCACCTTTTTCTTTTTGTCTCATCCCGTATAATTTTATTCTCTTTGTTCTGCTTCCTGCTCGTGTAATTTGGTTTTTGGAGCTCCTCTGTGTGTTGTGAGCCAAGAGAGTAAGGTGAAAAAAATTACAATAAATTCTGAGGTAGAGGCAGATATTTTCTTTTAGACCAAAGGAAACTCACACTCTCAGATTTGTCTAGTTGCTGTGTTAACTTCCTCCTAATCAAAGGTGAAAAATTTCCCTCCTACAATTTGACAAGGAGAACAAACATACCTCCGGTTTGGGTAATTGGAGTCATGGGATCTTTCTACAACCCTAAGGAAGAGATTGACTACAACATATTTCAAAGCCAAACCTCCCTCCACATGACCTCCCATTCCATTCAGTTTGAAGTGAACTTTTTTCTGTTCAAGAGTTTGTTTGTTTTTTCTTGCATTTAAAAATTAAGAGCAAATATGAGAGACTGGTTCAATTGGTATGCCTAGTATGGATTTTGAAAAGCTTAGTACTCCCCACTTTCAATTTTTAACATGTTATAAAGTCATTTTCTCGAAAAGGAGTCCTTACCTCTAAAGCGGTCCTTGAATTTTGAGGAGCTACCTTTTAAATCATGAACAATAAAAAAATTGAGCACTTCACCAATAAGAATTTTGGCACTTTGCTGCTGAAATGTCTTGTGTACAACTGTCAAAAAATATGAATAGGTTGAATCTCAGCCTGATTTACTTGAGTTCTTGACATATGTTTTAAGTACATACATTATTCATGAGAAAATGTGTTACTTATTGCAGAGATTACTAAAAACGTCCAAAATTTACATAACAATTATTTTTTAGGAAAGTTAAATTCCGTTGTGTCAAGTAAGGATTCATTTGGGAATAGTTTGTGACCAGAATTTGCTGTAAAAATGTGTTGCTTCTCCCCTTGAGGAAGCAGATCTAAACTTAAATGGCATTATAACTGAATCCTTTTTACATTAGTGAACAGAAAGTAGTCAGAAAATAAATTGAAATACCTGGGGATAAATTACAGCCCCTGAATCATCCTGTAATAACCTCCAAAGTAAAGGCACTTTATTTAAAATGGTCCAAAACACCACAGAGTATGATAAAAAAGCTGTATTTTCACATCAGAGCTAGTGAGACCATAAAGTGAAAACTCTATTCATCAATTAACTGTGACAAGTTCCACAAATACTCAATGTGCACAGATTCAAAGAAGTCGCATTCCGGAGTTAAATGCAGCAAACTGATTGTAACTTTATTTCTCTTGGCACAAACGGATGCATCCCAGCTTTAATTTGATCAACAAACCAGAGATGTGCTTGAGAAAGTAAAATGTCACTTTAATGTCACGTTAAGATTGCTCTTACACCTTTGTTGTTGTGTTCCGTTTAAAGGCAGTTTAGTTAAAAAAAAACACATTTGATATAATATAGTATAAAAAAGACTTAATAAAATGGCAGATCATCAATATTCACACATTTGCATTTTAACAGCAGTTTTCAACAGTACAAGAGGGATATACACTCAGCAGACACTTTGTTAGGTACACCTTGTTGGTCCTGGGTTGGACGCTCTTTTACCTTCAGAGCTACCTTTTTGTGGCATTGATGAAAAAAATCTTATTGTCCAATTTTGGTGAGTCTTTGTGAACTGTAGCTTTAGTTTCCTGCTCTTAACTGGCAGGAGTGGTCTTCTGCTGCTGTAGCTCATCTGCTTCAAGGTTGGACAAGCTGTGTGTTCAGAGATGATGCTCTGCATGCTTTGGTTGGGCCGAGTAGTTATTAAAGCTTCTGTTTCCTTTTTGTCATCTGGAACCAGGAGCTCCAACATTAATCAGGCTTTTTCATCCATATGAATGCAGCTCACTGGATACATTTATCCCTATTTCACCACCTTTGCATGCCTAAACGCATTAAGTTGCTGCCATGTCTTTGGCTGATTAGCTATTTGTGTTAACAAGCAATTGAAAAAGTGTACTTATTAAAGTGGCTGGTGAGTGTATATACTGTATAACCAGAGAGCATGTATGGCATGATTCAGGCAAATTCATCGTGACATTATAAATTGTGCTAGCGTATCTGTTTCAGTTGGACTGTATGCTGTTCATGAAGATGCTGTAGAAAAAAATTTGCAAAAATTGCCATCTAACCAAGTTTTAAAATTTTATATCCAGCCAAAGACTATTTTTGATCTTGCTTTGAGACTGATATACTAAGCAAGAGCAGAATGTGTTGGATTATTAATCTTGTTAGCCTAGATTTTTATCCTTATTTTAAGAAGTCTTACCAAGTGCAACTCTCTTACTGCACTGGCAGATTATAAAACTTAATTTAAAAAGATTCAGATTATAATCTAGCATATTACCTTATAATTAGATGGCTATTTTTGCAATGTGTTGTTTAAAACTAGATATGCTGTAATGTTTTCAGTGCATCATTTATTCATTTACATAATGAAAATCTCTCTGATCCTTTGCTTTTTCTTTCAGTGTAATGTCACTGTGCAAAGGCTTTTGATTGAGGCGGATACAGTATATTAACACAAATCATTGAACTAAAACCTTTTAGTTCATTCTTTTACAGTATCTACAAAGATTTTTTTTCCACACTGATGAGCAACTGAGTTTGTTCCTTTCTTTTAACCATAGGCAAAATGTTTACCACCTGTAAGACTTTCCTAATACCTGAGTAGTTTTTAAATTCTACGATATATGGCTATTCATACTATGATATTGCAACCCATTCTCACTCCCGAGTCGTCACATATTGACGTTTTTCAAAGGTCCCTTTGCGTCCAATTTTGACGCATCAGGTACCCCCCTTGCGTCATATTTTGACGGGATGGGGCGGAATCTGTTGTCGTAATTTTTCAAAGTGTAGAAAATGCACAAATACTACCGTCCCAAAGCGTGAAATTACGTGTATTCACTTTAGACATCCTGTCCCAGACCCTAGTACCTAAAATTAACCATTAACCCTGATACGTAAAATTAACCATTTTTAGAAAATGTAGGAAATTCATGGCAACTACGTGTTGCAAAGCCTAAAATTACCTAATGTTCACTGTAGACATCCTATCCCTGACCCCAGTCCCTAAACTTAACCATTTATCCTGATCCCTAATGTTAACCTCAGACCCCCGACCCAAAGACCCCTGGTGGCGCAACCCGGAAAAGCCGCGGGCGGCAAGGACTGACGCGAGGGGGGTACCTGATGCGTCCAAATTGGACGCAAAGGGACCTTTGAAAAACGTCAATATGTGACGACTTGGGAGTGAGAATGTGTTGGATATTGTCATGGCAGCAGATTTTAAAATGCAACCTGATTTGAAGGCTTATCGTGAAGCCTGGCTTTAGGCAGAGATGGGACTAGGTCCACTAGGTTCGCTAATAGAGCCCCTGTACTTGGGTCCACAATATTCTCCGATGAACGAACCATCTTCATTGAACTCTGCCTCTTCGTCCGTGTAGCCCACCAAGCTGTCTCTGCTGACGCTGTCCCCGAGGTCGTCGTCTCTCCTCAGCGGCTTCTCGTCGCTGTCACTGCCATGGAGAAGAGCGGAGGGACGGTCAGCGGGGCGCGACACAAGCAGCAACATCACTGGGCAGATGGAAAGCTTAAAGCAGTGCACATCTTTGACACTAAATCTCTATATGTTTTACATATAATGAAAAAAAACTAGTCACACAAACACCAACAACCTTAGCATATGTAGCACTAATAGATTATTAAACGCTTGGCTACATCAATCCACAAACAAACAACTTTGGTCATGGTTTTATGCATCACTACAGGCAGAAGGCAGACGACGATGCAGCAACTGCACAGCAGGAAGGGGAACACAGGCGGCGGTGGGGAGGGAGGAAGCGGGGGTTGGGGGTGGTATCTCTACAATCACTTCACTAATTGCTAATTGCCAAGGCTCCGGGACCAAAGGCAATTTCAAATCTCTTTAGAGTCGCCGATGGAAATTGCCAGAGTGCTGTGAGAAAGATGCCGAGTGGAAGGCTTTGTGTGTACGAGGAGGATGGGTCGGGGGAAGAAGGCTGAGATTGGGAAAAGGATGAGGGGGAGAAAAGGTGGTCCATATGCAGTCCCAGACAAACAGCCGGTCATTCCTGGTATTCCCAGGGGCTCACACGTGAGCCGGGGCGATTAGATGCCAATTTAATGCTGGGCAAGTGGCCAAGCTGCAGGTGTGTCACCATAAGATGAGGGGTCACCTCAGAGCACTGGTGTTTGTCCTCCTCTGCCCGCTGTCTTTCCCTATTCTTTAATCACATTCATTTGTGCAAAACTTCTCTCCCTCTCCAGCTTTTTGTATTCATAACACAAAACATCAACGCTCACAATACAAACTCAGGTGGTTCATACATGATAGCACCACTCGAGGCGTATTGCGGTCGTTGTGTCAAAAACAAGCACAGCATTGGGAGCAGGATTTAAGAGAAGAGCCTACGTGAAAAGAAAGATTACAAATTGGGTCTCCTTCACGGAGACTTTTAATACCCAATCTTATCTGTCCTACTTTGTGAAGCCATTTATGATGCAAGCCACATAAGGTCCACATTTCAGCCCCTTTTTTTTCTCTCTCTCTCTCCCCGGTCTGTTTCTTATCAAGCCTACTTTTCTCTGACGACTCTCGAGCGCTGAAGATAAGTGGCTGTTATCTAAAAGCAGTGAAATGCCACAGCCGCTGCAGCCCGCCCACAGCGACTTTGAATACAGTGACAAAATGGGGCTGAGAGCCGTTGAGCCCCAGCTCACTCAAGACCTTGGTTCGTATCAAGCGCCGATCTCAGCTATTTCAATGCTTTAGTTTTACAAACGGGTATGGAGAGGAGATAGAGGCGCATCAACCAGAAAGAAAGGGATCACACTTGTCCTGCCCTTGACTCAAGTTGACTTGGTTTGAGTGCGGCAAAAAAAAAAAAAAACTTCAGGTGCAAGCTACCTTTTCCTCCCACTTATTGACATTCTTTTAACTACCATATTTATTCATGCATGATACGATCTCATGTACAATATGACACCCCCAATTTTTTGCCTAAAAAGCATTAAAATTTTAATTCTCATACTACCTCTAATTTCAAATGGACTTCAGGATTTTTCAGCCTTTGCAGTCTTTAAATATATATATATA